AAACTACTGACCTGCTGCAGCTGCTGCTGGGGGCCGGTGTGTCGCGGCACGCTTGCTTGCTTACAAACGCCAGTCGCGTTCCCTGTAACGGGGTGGTGACTTAAGGGGAGTCGAACGAGCTGCTTTTGGCGGTTGTGCGGGAGCAGAGACCTAAATGAACGTACGGCTTATCTCCCTAGCACGGTTTTTTAAATTATTAGTTCCCTTAGATTTTTCCACTGGTAACATATTTTCTTTTTCACAAGCTCTGTGACAGTAGACTGACTGGGATAGCTTATCTTCCTGTGAAATGCACCAGGTGTAGAATATGTAATACCACATCAAAAGCGTGTTGCCAACATGACACAATGTGCTGATGCAAACTTGTGCCAGGGAAACCTTTTTTACTCTTTTTTTTTTTTTTTTTTGAAAAGGAAACTTTGTCACAGGAAACTTCCATCAACTTAAGTATGTATGATGTGGAGGGCTGTAGTTGCACAAGCAGTTGAGCAGCTGTTATTGCCACCGAAAAATGGAGGACTTTGCCCCTGCTTCTAGCAACGTGGTCCTTTACCAGAGCTGCACAAGGGAATGGGGCTAACAGGATACTTTACTGAGCTGCTTTAACTCAACTAATGAGTTTGTTGGGTTTGGGTTTGGTGAGGTTAGTGAGCTAAAGCAGCTCGTGGAGCTTTGGAGCCACCCTAGGGTAAAGTGGCAGTGGATGGCTAGCAGCAGGATTTGAAAGGGAAGATGAATGCAAATGAAGAGTGGGAAACTGCAGTCTCCTTTTGGATTGGTTTAATACCTCAGGAGAACAAACCTCCTATTTATGCTAGATTGAAGATTGCAAACAGCATAAAACTGGTATAAAAGCAGATTTTTTTGAGTGCTTTGGTGAACTTGACATAGGTGAGGTAGCATGCTAATGCCTAATCTGGATAAGATTTATATTGCCATTCCCTTCTGTGATGCACAGATGTGATATTAATGAGGGGTGTTACACCTTCGTTGCTTTTCTTGGACTTTTCTTAGAAGTTCTGCAGACCCCAGACTTAAGGCCCATTACTGCGCTAGATTGACAGTTACTCAGAAATGAAGTGCGTAATAAGAGTTATTACTTAAAGATGTTGCTTTTTGCAAAGGGATGGAAATTCATAGCAAATCTTAAATTGGGAAGTTTTGGTGGTGTTTTTCTTAACATCTGGCTCTAAAAGTGTTTTTTCTGCTGGTAAACTTTTTTCTTTGAGATTACTAAACTTCATTTTAATGAAATTATATTTTAATGGAATAATTTTCAAACTGGAATAAATGTAACTAGTAAGTTCACGATTCCTACAGTTTTTGTTACATGAGGAATTAAGGTTCATAGCTGATTGCCAACCTGCTTATGGTATTCCGCTTTGTAGAGGGTAAGTTTGGTAGATTGATAAGCTTTGTGAGTATATATGAAAATATCTGCTGTGTGTTTGTTATTTTCCGGTTTCTTTCTAATGTGGTTTAGTGTGGCAATGTCAGATATTTCTCCAAATGTGGATTTGTAATAAAGTCTTTTAAAAGATATGATTTTCCATCATGTAGAAGAAAATAAGCATTTTCTTTATACTGCTACTTAAATACATTCCAGGGAGAAATCTTTTTAACTTGTGTGAGCTACAAACATAAACTGTGTTTTGTCAGAATGGTTGGAGTGTCTTGTATGAGACTGAGCACTAGAGACTTTTTTTATGGAAAGCTGAGAAATAATATTGAAAATGATTGCCAGCAGACAGCTATGCTGCCGGTGATCCAAGCAGCTTTATACGTTTGGGGATGGCTCACACACACTTTACTGAAATGAAATGTAGTGCGGTTCAGGTACAGATAGATACAGATTTTTGCTAGCAGGAAAAAGTCTATAGGCTATTTGTATAACTTAGACTACTGTGGTGGCAAGGCCTGTCATTCAAAACTGGGGCTGCATAATTTCTGGAAGGCAGGTTTTATATTGTAATGTTGATTGTATTTTAGCCAAAAGTATTTAAAAGAAACTACAGAAAATGGATGAGGAAAATATGTAATAAGAATAATAATTTATATAACACATGAAAGAGAAATAATGAGAAAGGATAATCTTGTGTTTTGTTTTGTCTTAGAAAAAATGTAGAAGATTTCACTGGACCTAGAGAAAGAAGTGATCTGGGATTCGTCACATTTGACATTACTGCAGATATCCTTAATGGAAAAAATTGGTTTGCCAACACTTTGAAATAAGAACATCTTGACATCTATTCTTGTTACTTTATAATCTTCAGGTGTTCAGGACTTGAGGAAAGCTGGCAATTTGTCTTTAAAATTTAAAGCACTGAAAAGTAGTATTTTACATAGCTAGGGCAGTTAAATAGAACTTGGAATAGCTGTTCATTCTCTAGTAGATGACACAGGGCAAGTTGTTTCCTCTTCTTTTAATGCCTGTTTTTAAAATCAGGCTCTATAGTGAAGTGCGCTGTATCTAATAATGGAAAGTGCTGTTTAACATCTGGACAGTATCGTTAAGTGAAGCTTGTGTTGGTGGTTTGAGGTGTGAATTAATTATAGGATTTATGTAACATACTGTTTTGACTGTCGTACTGAATCTAGAAACTGATGCAAGTTTAAGTTCTGGCCACATCATAGTTACATACAAGTACCTGTCTTCCTTTAAAAATAAAAAGATGTTAAGCTATCAAATCTTTAACATTGAATTCTGTGAAATTCATTGGGAAGTATACGAGGTACTACAAAATTTATCACATTACTTTTTAGGCTCTTTCTCATTGCTGTTACCTTTTTGTAACTTTTTTGTATTTCTCTGCTTCCCTGTTTGTGTTTTATTGGGGAAGGAAAGTTGTGTAGGGGTGGTTTTTGTTTTATTTTGTTTTGGACAGGTTTTTTTGACAGCAGCATGGTCTTGATATGAAAAAAAAAAATCAGTGCTTTTCTGCAGAGTTGATACCAAATATACGGCAACATGCTTTACCTCAGGTGATTACACTAAGCCTTGCTTTGCAGCTGGGCTGAAATTCCTGGAATTTTTCCTTGTCTGCTGTTTTTTGTCACTGTGTTAAGCAAGACAGTGCTTACCTCTGTGTTTCCCTTTCCCTGTTTTGAAGAGTACTACATTGTGTAAGCAAACCAAACAAAATACAAATCTTGAATGCTTGTGAACACTGAATAAACAGGTTAATCAGATTTTTGCAGGTGTGTGTTGCACAGGAATAAGGGATTTTTTTTTTTTTTTTATTGGCTGGAAGCAGGAGAGATGAATTCCTAAGTCTTGAGTTTTACTTCTGAAATGCTTATACATATTAAAACGAGAGACTAAAATTCTAAAGCAGATGAATTGTATGTAGTGTCTATAGGGGAAAGCAGAGCAAGGCAGTTCAGGACCTCTAAAAGAAATGTTCATATACAAGGATTAGTCTGTAGTATGTGGACATAAAGAGTCCATGTTTTAATAACTTTTAATAGTAGCAATAGTTTTAAGTCAGTTTTTATAAAAACTTTTAGCTTTTCATGCCTGGCACAAATAAACCTTGCAGTGTGTAGAGTTGCAAAATACAACTTTCTGGTAGGTGGGGTTTTTTTTGGAAGAAATTTGTAAAGAGATACTGGTACATGGGCTCTCTTGACTAATGTAAACAAGTTGTTAGTCTCAAGAAGAATTAAATAAAATGACAGTTAGAAAAAGAAAATAGAGAAAGGAAAGGGGAGGAGACAGTTTTCACAAACTCTTTTTTATCTTACTTCATTCATGGCTAACTTTAGCAAGTAATAAGAAATCCCACAAAGGAGATCTTCAGAATCTTGTTTGTTGTTTTGAGTTAAATGATGAAAAATATTCAAGTAAAATAGCTCCAGCTATTCTTGCAACAACAATAGTTAATTACTTACTTGACTTTTGAAATAGAGGCTGAAAAGCATGTTTCAGTCTTGGGATGAGTGGAACAAGGTAGAACAGATTTTGAGGCTGGTTGGGGAATCTGTATCACTTATTTTTTGAGATAGTGGCAAATAGAATAAAAAAGAGGACAGTGAAATAAAAGGTTACAGCTAATCTTTATTGTCAGTTAAAAGGTCTTTTCCTTAGCAGTCACACATGGTGCATTTTATTGCTAAATAAACCACAAGTATTTAGAATATCAGCTTTATACTGGCAGTCTCAGATGGCAGTCATCAGTTCTTTACTGTTGATCAAAAGCTAAGCAGCATTTTGTTTCAGTCTAATAATCTGACTTTCTTTGTAGTAAATAGGTAATTAAATCTGCTAATTCCTGGTGTCCCTTCCAATATGAAATACTTCCCATTTACTCACTTCTCTAATGTGGGTATTACAGGCTCTTTGAACTCTCTGCACTCTGCCAATTTCATATTTATGTATTGTTTAATGCTATTGTATCTTGATCCACAGTTGGATACCAGGGTTCTTTGTTAGTATAAATAATCACTTTGAAGGTATTTACTGAAGAATTCTGTCTTGCCTTTTATGTTTAAGGTTTTATAGTAGATTGTCTAGCAGCAGATTATGGTTACTAGCTTGCATTGTCAAATATAGAACTCTTAAATCATTGAAGGAAATAGCTGTTAGATTTCATAAATAAGTTTTAAAAAAAAAACCTGTTGCTTTAATATGATTAAAATCTATGTTAGAACTCCTGGAAGTGCTCTCATTTATAAATAAGTTGAGGTATGTTGAAATGTAAGAACTCACTATAGTTATCATAGTCTATTTAGATCTAGTAAAAAAAATGCAAGGTTATGTAAGTACAATATGGTATTTTTCTTAACTTGCATACATCTGCAGAGTATATTTGACTGGAATGTTAAACAATTGTTTCTATATTTGTCTGCAGAATATTCAACGAAAAACAATGTAAGTATCAAAAAGAAAGTTGAAGCAATTACCCATTTTGTATTGCAGCTATTTTTAACATTCTGAAGTTCTGCTGGGAAGAGTTAAGGCAGTAGCATTTCCTACTAGCTCAGACTGTTTTTAATGGCCTTCATGATTGTTATTGTCTTGACAGTTTAAGTGTAGGGTGGGAAGTTCACCCTGATGAAACCTAACTTAATATGTGCCCAGCAGAGTGGAAGAAAAGTAACACATGCATTGTTTGCTTACAGTAGTGGACTGTAAATTATTTTTTTCACCTCTTTGTCTGTCTTACTTTTCCCTAATGTTCTGCAGTTGACTGCTGTTAGAAACAAGATATAGTGGCCTTTTGTCTGGCTAGGTATGGTGGGTCTTTTGTTCATAGATCACAGAAGTATTTGCCACAGTACCGGTTACTGTAGCCCCGTAATACATTTATGTTCCCATGTCGTACTTCGCAAAATAATTCCATTGCTGCGTTTTTTTTAAATTGGTTGCTATTGATATTTCACTTTGAATAACTGAAGGCTTTTTTCACTGATCTGATACAAGCTGTGTGTAACAGCCTATGGAAATAAAATGTTTTAATGGAACACCATGCTGCTGTGGTGCCACTGAATTCTAGTTTAAGCTACTGTGGTCACATTGCAAGGATATAGTGAAGTCTTGGGGTTTTCTCTTATTAACTTGCTGCACAAAACTATCTCCCTACTTTTCTTTTTTTCTTTTAAAGTACCTTAGTTATTTTGTACATGCTGGTGGATATTGTGTTTGTACTAAAATAGTTTTTAGGGTTCTTTATTAGGGTCTGGGACTTCATTGTCTTGTTTCATCTTTTACATTTTTTTCATATAAATCACTAGTTCTCACAAATATTGAGAATTTTTTCCTAAATTGTTCTAAAAGGTACTAAACAATACTGCTTAGCACCTAACTACTTAAAGAACAGTATAAAGCTTCAAATATTTATGAATTTGGGATCTGTCTTTTGAATAGTTCATACAATTCTTGGGGTTACACTTGCAATTCAAGTAGAGATTTTTTTACCATTAAAGTTGGAGAAATGTTAAATACCTAGGCAGTGTCACGAGAGCTCAATTTAAGTCCTTTATTTGTAATAAAGTCTAAATACCGCTTTAAAAGCGACTTACCTTTGCAATTCAAAAGGAAAACCCATCATACTTTGTAAGTCTTTGCAAGCTTATGACTTTTAAATGGCTTTCTCATGTTTGAGCTGTTGTTTGTTGCTTCCATTTATTCTGTGCCACACTTAAGTGTGTAGTAGCGCTGATTCCCCCTCCTCACCCCAGTAAAGCATTATTTTGTTAAATTAGTCTTGGATTGCAAGCATGTATTTAAACTTCAGGGGTTTTAGATGAATAATGCTATGAAATGCCAGTGACTGAATGTGATCTTGTAAGGTACCTAGCTGACTTAATTACAATTGTATTTTTAGGCTCTAAACCAGGTGGTCCTTTGGGACAAGATCATGTTGAGAGGAGAAAATCCAAGGCTGTTCTTAAAAGACATGAAGTCAAAGTACTTTTTCTTCGATGATGGAAATGGTCTCAAGTAAGTAAATCCTATTACTATTATTATACATGGTATCTTGATTTACTTGCATACTTTGCATTTTATATGTAGTTTTATTGCTGTGGTAAGGTACCTACATTCTATCTGATATTCTGTCAGTCTATTGCATCTTTGTAGTTTGAGTGTTAGAAGATGACCTTGGGATACAAGATACCCTGTTTCTTCTATAGCCTAGAAGATGCACTGCTATTATGAGCAATAGGCTTCTGGGATTCTACTTCCAGTATTCTTGTCTGTGTAGAATTGGTTCTGTGATGTGTTCAACTCCAAAGGAGTTAGGCAACAGTAAAAAAAAAAAATCTTACCTGGAGAATAGGTAATACTTCATGAAATAACTACATAAAAGCCCACTGTTTCTGGATCAGGAAAACAATGTGTAACCTAATTTATTTAATATTAGCATTTGTTAATTAAATCAGTTAACTTGAGTATTTGTGCTGATAATCTTTGTTGCTTTTGCAGGGGAAACAGGAACGTCACTTTGACTCTCTCCTGGAATGTTGTACCAAATGCTGGCATTCTACCTCTTGTAACAGGATCAGGACATGTGTCTGTACCTTTCCCAGATACCTATGAAACAACAAAAAGTTATTAAATTATAATACTGAATCCTAAGCAAGATATTTTTATACTTGTATATTGTGAATAAATTTTATTGCGGTTACTTCTCACATCCCCTGCAACCCTTCAGTGAAAGGTACTTATTTTCCTCAGGTCTAACAATATAGGAAAAGGAAATGAAAGTTCAAGGTTTTTTAAATAAAACATTGAAGCTGAATCTGAAGGGAAAGCTAAATTGCAGACTAATGGTTTTGGGGGGAAAACTGAGGAATTTTTTTTTTTTTTTTTTTCTCCTGGCCATCTGGGTATAGATCTCCTTTTCTTTTAAATAAACATTTTTAAACCAGAAAATAGTCTTACTGTTTGGTTTTGTTGGGGTTTTTTTGGGTGGTGGTATTTTGGTGGGTTTTGGTTTCTTTTTTTGAGGTATTGTGATAGTCATTTAATCTGTGTAGAATTGAAATACACTTTCTGAATTTAGTTTCTGTGAGTGCCTGAAGGAAACGGCTATTCTGTTTTACTGCGTTTTGCTAAATGCATGCTGAGCGTGTTACAGTATTGTAAGCTTGCTCCTTTCTAGGCCTGCAAACAGCTACTTTGAAAACTGACAGTTCACTATCTGTCGTTCAGCCTGTAGATCATGTTTTGAGTGCCATTGATGTAGCCCACATGCAATTCTGTATTATAAAACATTTTAATAACTGCTTATAATGCAGTTCACTGGAAGAATTAAAAACAAAAAATCTTTTTGATGTCTTAAGCACAAGTCAGTAAGAAAAGGAAAAGCTTTAAGAAAGACTGTCTACAGAGCAACTGCTTGATTTTTATTAGGATCTGCTTAGCAGGAAGAATGAACTTGCTTGTTCCAGAGGGGGCTGGGACAACTAATATTACAGGGGCCCTTCCATAGCAAGAAAGGGGACAGATGTTATCCAAAACAGTCTGGGAAAGCATTTAAGAAATAGACAAATTCCCATGGGAAGATAGAGAAATTTAGACAGATCTACCAGCTTGAATATGAGTCTACCTGCAAGTCTTCCCAATTTGCATCAGCCAGGAAAGGCAGCAAGCAGTGAGCAGCAGTTTCAGTCACACCTCTGCTCAGGAGTGGCCTGTGCGGCTGCACATCCTGCTCCTTGGGTCCTCCTGCACTCAGCTGCAGCCATAAATACTTGTCATAGCTGGGGGGACAGAAAGAAGAAATGGTGTCAGGATGCCTCTTGGTGAGAACGACAGTTTATACTGATTGGTGCTTCCTGCCCATTGTGTATCCAGAAAGAAGAGCACTTGCCACTATCGCCTTCCTTACGTAGTTCTTAATGTACATATATCCAAACAAAGTACGGTAGAAGTGAATTTATTGCCAGATGTTGAACGTTCAGAAGATGCTGAGGACTTTCGCAAAGAGCAAGCAGAGTCTGTTATTAAAACTAAGCTTTTTAATACTGTAAACCAGGAAAAAAAATTAGGAAAAATTATGAGAATTGCAGTGTGACAAACCTTTCAAAAGAAGAGACGCAAAAGATTGGAGCAGGGTCTCCCCCTTTATTGTGATTTCACCTAAGAGCAGGTGGATTTTGAGGAAGCCAACTTGCTTTTAAAAAGGGATCTTTAATATTTGTGAATTATCCCTAAGTGACTATTTAGTACATTCTCTGTGTCGGTGTATCAATCAAAGAGATGTTGAAAAAAATTTCCAAAAAGTGCTTTGACTTTTTACAAACAATTTTTTTAAGTGTGAAAAGTAAAAAAAAAATATTTTCACAGGAATATTTTAGGACAATTTTTCATTTGTATCCAACATATTTACATGAATTCCAGTTCTCTCAACTTGTGCTGTTTTCCACAGATTAGCATAATCAGCACGTTGAAATATATCCTATTTTTTTTTTTGTGCTTTGATATCAAATGTATATATTGCTCTAAAAACTGTTTTAGAGAACTTAATATTGTTATATAGAAGGAAAACAAATTTAGAGATAATTGGGCAGAGTTGTGGAGTTGTTTTGTTAATTGCCAAGTTAAGTGGTTGGTTTATTCATAAATTATATTCCTGAAATGTTTACTGAAACTTAGTCCTTGTGGCTTGGCATTCAACCACTTCCCTGTGTTCCTTTGGCAGTACTCAAATATAAAGGGCTGTCTATGAAAGAGATGCTTTAACTACAAAGACAAGGATTTACTGTCAAAAAAAAAAAATCAGAGATGAATCTACCTTCTTTCATCTGAAATGGTACATTCCTCCCAGCAGGTGGTAGCAGAATTTTAAGACACTAAAATTGTAGTTTCAAATGTGAAGCTTGAAGCTTTTCTAGCCTTTCCCAGTGAAGAGAAATAATGTTCGAGGTAAGCATTTTAGAGGGATGACGAAGAAAGTGTCACTGAGTTTGTGTTCAAGTTCTTAGAGAGAAGAACTGGGTTTTATCTTGAGGGAAAGGCCGGCAGAGATGAGCACTTAAATCATAGAATCATAGAATGGTTTGGGTTGGAAAATGGTACGGTACGAGCTTGTCCTTCGCTTCTCGGCCACCAAGCGGGACAGGATGCTCTCTGTTCTCTTCTTGGTTCAGGGAGCAAGAGGGCAAATTCCTCGGCTGGTCTCTAAAGCCTTTCAAAAAGGAAAATGACTACTGTATTTTGCTGTGGCAACTCTCAAACCATTTATAAAAAGAATGCTCTTTTCTGGAAACGCATGGCAGTGCTCCCTCTTGTCTCTTCTGATACATCTTAGAAATATTATTGCTGGCAGATGATTCTTCTCTTAGGTGTGTTACCAACTAAATGATGTTTTATGTAGTGATGTGTACAAAAGGTGTGTTCCCTAGCAACTGACGTAATGGGAAAAGGCTTGAAATCCTGTCATAGGAAATTTGAACTAAAACCACTTCTGATGCATTTCAGACAGCAATTTGATGAGGTTCTGGAGTCAGGAGTTCTTGTCTAAGAACTGTAAAATGCAAACTCTGAAAGTGGCCTGGGTTTCCATTTACTGTTGAGAGCATGCAGCATGGCACAGAAAGCCCTGTGCAGGAAAGGAAAATAACTTGAAAATCTGTATTTAAAGTTCCGCTCCCCTGTGCATACACTCTTATTTATGGATTGGCGCTATGGGTAGTAAAGATAGACATTGAGAAAATGAATGAATTCTAACTTTTGGTTGTTTATTCTTTCAGTAAGTTTCTTCTGAACAATGAAATTAAAGCAGCTATTATATTGCTTAACAGCCAGATTCAAGTGGAGTTCTGGCATTATTTTGGGATTACAAATGTTGAAAATTTTATGCTTCTGAAAATTATTTCAAGAGAGGTTTTGCAGGAACAGTTCTGTAAAATGAAAAGTATTTAGATGGAAAATTCAAGTATTGGAGGAGCAATCTTACTCCAAATTTCTGTCAGAAAATACATGCAAAATAACTATGTAAATCTTTGGTATTTAAGGAATGTTCTTCTGGTTCACTTGGCTTCTTTATTTTGGAAGAAAATTGATATTTTCTCCATTAAAAACAGTTTAAAACTTTTAAAAACATTTAAAACTCTTCACAAAAACAATCAATCAAACAGGTATATGCTCTTTAGCAGGAAGCATCCTGTTCTAAGCACACAGGTGAACACTCATATTACAGTAGTCACATCAGGCATATTTTAATTAAGAAAAAAAAAATCCAAAACTTGAACAAGCCAAACTACTGCTGGATCTTTTTCTGGTGCCCTCCACCGTTTCCCTGTGACCATTTTTGTGAATCTGCACTTTCTTCGAGAGGTGACGCACGGGTAAAGATAAAGTAGGCATTGTATTGTTAAAGTTTCTTTTTCCCTTAATAATGTGTCACTGTAATAATTCATTTTATGCAAGTTGTTATTTAGTTTATCCACTAATAATTGTTCTTAATTAGCAATTCTTAATTTACTTTTGTTTCAGGTGGAAAGATAGTCAGAATTTTCTCTCTCTCTCTTTTCTGTTTACTCCAAACTCCAACAGAGTTGCATTTATGATTTCTTTTTCTGAACGTTAATAATCTGATATTGAAATTCTAAACCCTCTATGCATAAGCTATTGAGAAAACAAACAAAAAACCCCCTCTGAATCGATATAGTTACATTATCCAGACTTACAAGTTATTGATTCAAAATAAAAATGAGAGAGCCAAATATATATTTAGGAGAATATTTCAAAACTCAGATGTGGTGAAAAGTGCTACCTGACCTCGGACCCTTTCCCTCCCCCAGCTGGGTGCTAACAATGCACATCCAAGTCACCTGGCACTACCCTCTGCTTTCCAGCTGGATCCCCTTATGCTCTTAGCGCTGCTCTGGGCCACACCTTCTGAAGAACCATAAAACTGGCAGAAATGGATTACAGAGAATATATACATTTCCAGGGCTAGAGGACTGTGATGGTGAGCAAGTGTTTTTTGTCATTTGAAGATATATTATTCCCATAACTTTGTCAACAGCAATTGTCATTTATTTTGCAGTTGTAGTCCAATGACTTCCAGGTGCTTTACAAGAAAAATCGTATTTATTACCAGAAAGAGGCTGGCATGCTCAAGCCATACTGGAAGCTCTTTTGCAAGTGACCGTCTTAAAACTATTATCTGGGGAGCTGGAGCTGCCTGGGGTGGTGTGTGACTAACCTGCTGCGGGCTTCTGCCACCTGGCTGCACAGGTGGTTGGCAGGCAAAGGGAGAATTGGGGACTCCTAAGTGGGGCCTCCCTTTGCAGAACCAGGCTTTGGACTTCACACGTGGGGTTTTGCTTCTGTGGTGCAACAGGGACAACAGGTACAGTGCTATTAATTCAGTGTGCTCCCCTTGCTCTGTGTTTCCTTTTGCTTTATTAAGGTTTGTTCTCCCCCGCCCCAGTGAAGTGGCTGCTATGGTCCTGGGTGCTCGCGCTGAGGTGAATGAGCTGGGTTTGGTACACAGGAGAGGTTTTGGAGTGTGGTGATAGGAGCTATTGTGAGAAAAAGAAGGGGTTTGGATGTGGCTACAGAAGATCAGTTCAGAAGTAAGTGTTTGGTTTAAGTGTAACAAATATTTGCTTTTAAGAATGACTTGTATTAGATGTAGTTATGAGTGGCTGACAAGGCAGGCAGATGAGAGGTCTTTTTCGTGTAAGGTAGTAATTGAAAATTAAGATAGAACTAGTTTAACTGTGATTGGGAAGTAACAGCAATGAGATTGTCTGTGGCTGCTTAAGTATCTTTCCCCCCCCCCCCTTTTATTTCGGAGAGGTAACTACCTTCCAGTTTAATTTCTTCTTCCCAATTTTGAAAGGAGAGGGTCAGAGAGTCTTTTTTTCCCCTTCCAGCTCCAATCTCTCACTAAATGCTACTTGTTCATTTATTTTTT